AGCTTTTTTGTCCTGCTTGTTAGCCAGAAAAGCTGCCAGCAGCACAGTAAAACAAGACAGGGCTTGCTTCAAGCTTGTACGGTAATCACAGCATAGAAAACTGAGTGGGGAAGGATAAGAGAGAAAGGAGATTCAGACTCAGTTATTAAAATTACAAAAATTCTTACAAGATTAATTTTGTAAGATTAAAACAATTATATGAGGTGGTATCCAATGGAGTATTTATTTCCCATTCCATCCTGTTTTGATCAAATGTCTCTATCTTTGTGTCAGATTCTATTGGTATATGTTTCCCCTTCCTTGGCATTCAAATTACTTAAAATAGATTAAAGTGCCAAATGTTTTCTTAGTATACATTTTAAAATTTGCTTCCTCTATTAACACACTTACAACAATCTTAAAGACAACAGGACTTCCTTCAGTACACAATGGCATTGTACTATAGTTATTTAAACTCATATATTTCCCTTTTCTTCCATTCTTATAGCATTCAGTCAATACTTTCTCAGATTTAACACAGTTGTGAATCTTATTGAATTTAATTTTATATCTCTTTTCACCTGAGAGTTTAACAAAAAATTGCAGTCAATTACATCAAAATTACTTGGGAACAGATTTAGCCTTTGCTAATAGTCACTATGGTGAAGAAAATTGCATGATCAGAATCTAATAACATGTCTAGAAAAATACATGTTTAGGGGGAGGAAATGCAGGCTTTCCAATCATCTCCTTTCTGGGTGCATGTAATTATAGGAATATACATCTGAGCTATAATGTGAATAAGGCATTAAATTAGGCTACCTGTATGCATACATCAAGGATAGTTTTGTTAGCAATGATCCTGCATGATTGCAGAGTATGCATAGTTTTGCACTCCTTTTTCCTGTTACTTACAATGTATGAGCCAAGAGGAGTCCAGTTCTTTCAGAAAGTGCACAGTATCCCATGATCCCGAGCCAAAACATCTAACATGAAGAATTATAGAAAAGATATTTTAGGCCATTGCATCTTGTACCCCTGTCTTCTAAGATATTAGAATCCTGTCTGATTTATCTAAGCCATTGATGAAAATATTGAATACAGGTACCAAGGCTGATTCTTCTGGCAGCCTAATCCATTTGCTATTTCTATCAAATCTGAATACCCCTTAAGTACAGTTTTCAATCTGGCCACACTACCTGTTGTTAATCACATCCCGTGTTTTGTAAAGGTATTTCAACAGCTTTCCCACAATTCATTAAAGGTGGTAGACAGTTTTTTTAAAATGAGGTAAAATTAAGTTGATAAAAATTCATTCTTGTCAATTCCATGGTCATAATCATAGCATTTTAAAGAAGTTTAGAGATTAATGTGTATGATCTGCTCCAGATTTGACCCATATATCGACAAGTCTATAATTTCTTTCTCTTCTCCTTCTTGAAGTTAGGGTAAAGACAACATTTACTCTCCAGTCGGGTGGCATTTCACCAGTTTTCCAGGTTTCTCAAAGTTAGAATATTAGAATATAGCCAGAACATTTCCTAGTTACATTGGTGACCAAGAGACAGTTCATCTAGTGCTGGCAGTTTACATTCATTCAGAATAGAGAGATATTCTCTGGTCATGATTCCATCTACCACTGACTTACCAATGATCAAAAGGACAACAGTAGTGGTGGCCAGGCTCCTAGAGTCAATCCACTTGTGAAGTGTGTTCTGGGCTGCCAGTTGGAGCAATGAGTTCTGTAATGGAGAGGCTTTCTTGGTCAACTATTCTTCCTCACCAAATCTTTTTGTTTTGTTCTCCTTTATTTTTGGAAAATTAGGTTGTCAAAAGAGAGTAACTGAGAGAATGTTGGTGTTTTCCTGATCCAACTGACAGGGTGGAATTAGTTTACTCTGTATAAATCTGGACCTGTTTTTGATTAAATGTAATCTCCATGAAGTTACCTGATTGTGTTAATTAACTCCTTTTTGGTGTACTCACAATATGCTAAACTTTCCAGTTAACTGCTTTTGGGAACAGGATTGTTGGGACTTGGTCATTTGGAACAAAGCACCAGTGTTTGCTTAGTTGAAACTATAAAAGCAAATTTAACCTTGACCCATGGAATTCTTTATCCATGCACACCAGCAATTTCACTGTACTTTCCATCATTCTCCTTCACCACTAGGACTTTCAAATGAACCAAAAACCCAGTGACTTATGCTGTTTAAATTCCTTACTTTGCTCACTGAAAATACATGTAGAATTTACATAATCCCACTGCAAAAGTCTTCAGCAAGATCTTATAATCAGTTGAGGAATATAAAGCTATAGTTACCATCTCACAAAACACATATGAACCAAATATATTCCTTATTTGGATGACATGTGGGGAAAGGTTCACCTTGTCATTTAGTTTTAAAACATATAGGTCCACCATCCAAAAAGCCAGCAGCCTAACTTAAAAACAGGAATGTTTGTGACGCATTTCTGCAAAAGTGACATATCGTGTTTAAACAGAATAGAGGAAACATTGCTTAAGTCTTGTACCATTTTTTGTCTTTTCATTTTAGGATGTTATTGACAAAAACAAATGGAAGAACACAATCAATAAATAGACTGAGTTAAAACTAGGAGCTCAGTTTTCCTTGCAGTATAGAGTCTGTTTTAAATATAAAGAAATATGTTTCTGTATTTGTTGCTTCAGGAATTCTGTTTTAAATGGTGAAACCAGGGGCTGGGGGGATTGATGAAAAACAGTTAAAAAGCGATTTGACAGTTCTGCAGGATCTACTGAAGCAATTCCTGGAAAGCAAAGCTGGATCTATAATTGTGTACCAACTAGCAGAGAATGTGGTCATTTTTCTTCCGAATGGGCTGAAAGTACTTCAGTCATCCTGAAAAGATTTTTCCTATGGGTCTTAAGAGAGAGGCATTACCCAAAATTTCTCCGAAGCTGAAATTTGTTCCTGTCCCTTGTTCTTCCATTAAGTAGCCTTTTCCTGAAGAAATTATCAGAAGGACCTGGTAATTTATTAAACTGGGGACCCCAAACCTGGGCCCACTAAGACCAGTGGACTTTAGCTTCCAGAATTCTGGGAATTGAAGTCCACTGGTCTTAACGGGGCTTAGACCCCTATATTAGACCTTTCTTAGTCACTAATTAATGTCTGTTTGAGATTATCCTTTTGTTCTAACAAATTTCAGTACATATATTTTCTATTCAGCCAAGTGATATTATCAGCAAATATTTGGTGTTCTGATATATGCAGCTTGAATTATTATTCCTCTGAACCTGCTCACTCATATGATTTGGCAGATAGAATTTCTGCTGATGTCTTTCTGCTGGACCTCATGCACACTGCCCTTTCCTGTAGGTCTTAGGAAAAAACTTGCAAACCAGAAAGATTTCAGAAAAAAAAGAGGCTGACATTTTCTAGCAGAGCGGTAATACATATTGAAAAGTTATACTTTATTGAATCTCCTACTCTTAAGATCCACATTTTCATTTTTGCCTATGATTGGAGTCCTTCTGCCTTGGCTTCTCTAATTATTCTTAATAAATATAGTTTGCAAATTAATCCAACTAGCCAGTCACTCAATACGTTGAAACATTAATTAGGATTATTTTGTTAATTTGTTGTTGCACAATTGCCTTACCTTGTTCATGGTGTAGATCCAGACAATATTGTTTCCACTAGTAATTTTCCTATTGAATTCTTCCTTACAAAGAAATAAATCTTCCAAATAGACAGTTCCTGTTATGATTACTCTAAACAACATTTTTTCATTCTCACATAATTGGATAATGGGGTGAGAAATTGGTTAGAATTTGCTGAAACATGATTTATATCATCCTTGACCCCAAGAGCAGTAAGAAGAATTTGCTTAGCAACATCTAGAGTGCCACCAATTTCCCACCCCTACTATGCACCTGCTTACTTGGGAATTGGCCCATCAGGATCATTCCACACATTTGTAATATTCTGCAGACCAAAATCCAATTTATGGCTATACATGGAACTATGTTTTACATTGTATATTCCTGTGTTGCAGAAAACAACATATAAATTATCTATATTTCTGTACTACCTGATCAGCAACAACTACCATTTAAATTTGAGTAAATTTGAATTAGATAGACATATGTTTGAGATATGAATTAGTATCAGAATGATAATGCTTTTGTAATGTACTTGGGATATGACTTGTACAATCACCTTTCTTGGTCATTGTATGATTATTCCCCCAGATTATGCCTTCTAGATATATTAGTCTAGAACACCCAGTATTTCTAGTCAACGCAAGGATAAGAATTGAAGCCTAACATATGGAAGTCCCCAATTTGAGGAAATCTGCACTAGCACATTTTCTGTTTGAAATAAACTTCAGATAATTCTGTTTCCAAGACAACATTTGCTTTTTCATACATAAAAATAGAAAATACACCTTTCTTACATGCATTTTAGTCATATTTTAATACTAAAGAAGAAATAGTACAGAAAGTAGATCTAGAAAATCATTCTGGGCTTGTCTTGTGGAAGTAAGTCCTAACTAACTAGGTAGTTGATTGCCAACCAAATGAGTCACCCAACTGCTTTGAAACTCATCGGATTTGGTACTCAATGCATTCTGATATAAAATTTTGTTCAGTACTCATTGTTTCTTTGGTACTCAATGCACAAGCTAGAACTTGTTGGTGTTGGCTGCCTTGTGACTTATGGAAAAAATTGTTTGGTGCTCATCGTTTTTGGTACTTATTGCACCTCCCAGAACCAATTCATGATGAATACTGAGATACCATTGTAATTCCAATTCCACCTCTAACTTCATCCACAAACTAGCAAGCTTTGCAGATACCTGCCCATTTATCTGATTTTGGAATGTCTAACTTCTACATTTAATATTTACAATTGCAACATTTCTTTTCCAGTATCACCATAAACCCTTTTTCCATGGAAAATAATTTTTCTCCCTTTCATTTCCAAATCCAATCACACTTCTTAAATTTAGTCCATATTTCTGCTCTTTTTCAGAAGGCTTCTGAGAAATCAAAGGGCTGCCACGCTTGCCTATTTACTGGTCCAAGGGAAGCAAAATTCAGTCTGCTCTTTTTTAAAAGTTGCTCTTTCATGAAAGTGCTCACCATCTAGTAGTACCAATATCACAGGCAGTACCCCAAATATGAAACTGAGTTTGCAAGGCAACCCTAGTATCTTCAAGCAATGGCTTTTGCTTTTTCCACTTTTGATTACCGGCTCTAACATTCAGTGATGCTATCAGGGCAGGATTTTGGGAGAGATGCTTAGCACCCATTCAGTGTGACCAGAAAAAGCCCCCAAGTGTAGCAAGACCACCTTATTACATCTACCAGTAATTAAGCAATAGCCAGAGCTCTTTTTTTATGTCACTAAATCCAAAATTTAAAATTATCTAATTCTGTGACTGTTGAATTCATGTATTCCCAAATCATGAGACTTGGGGAGACTTTAGCAAGGAAAAAGTTGCCTTCCCCATGTTTTTCTGAAATATCTTACATTCTTCCTTTCCTTGGTCAGATTCTAGCCCTCACTTTAAAACCCACATGACTAAATTAAACTGTGACCTTGAGGCTTGTTGGTTGTTCTTTTTTTAAAAAAACTTGCTCACTTATTTACTGAAATCTAACACAAGGGGAGAGCGTGCAAGCAGGCTGAGGCGCAGCACATGATTTCAGCAGGTTAACTCCTTATCAGCTGACACCAGATTCAAAGCCATGTGGAATTTTCAAGGTCCTGTCCTAAAACAGTCTGATTGCCCAGGGCAAAGTAACTGGCTTCCATTGAGTCATTTCAACTCCCTAGCCTAAAACTATGTCATTTTCAAGCACAATGGGGTTAGAGTGTGATTCTACTAGCCCAGGCAAAATCTGTGTATCCTACTGTGATCCTTTTGGATGATAACAGGATAAAAAACTAATGGTTCTGCTAACGGAAAAGCGCAAATCAAACCTGACTGGCTGCATCTGTATCAGCCGTATATCCTATATTTTAGGTAATGTGTGCAATGTACCCCTAAACCAAATCTTGTCTCCTGCTTAATGTCATCTTGCAGTAAAAAAAATCCATATTATTCATTGCTCATTTCTAAACGTCGTAGTTGATTCAACTCAGCACTGTATACATTCCTGTAAAAAGTTTTGGAATGATTTATCTTGAAAATACTGATAATATATGGAAACTTGATATTATTGTACAAATAAAAGACAAGTTTAAATGTGATTATTTTATCAAACTTTGCCAGGTAAAGTAGTTCAGATTTTCTAACAGAAAGTTTTTAAATAAACTGAAGGTGACAAGGATAAAAGCTTGCCTGAATGTGTGCCTCCACAATGCTTTATAAATGGTACGGTAGTTTGAGAGATTATTTACCTACAGCATGGATTGTTGTGTTCATTACTTTATTCAGGCTTACCTTGCAAAAGTACTACTGAAAATGAAATTTGAAAAATAAGGGGCTGTTCAGAACAGAGATTTTGTTTTGAAAGGTAGAAAGATACAATATCAGTCGCTAGTGGGATCTTGGGATCTTTATGTAACTCCAATGTTGTTCAAACTTTTGCATAGTTATGGAAAACACTTCATCAATAAAGTGACAGTGATCTCTCCCTCTCTTTCTCCCTCTCTTTCTCTCTCTTTCTCTGAATTAAATTATTATTAATATATTGTTTTGGTCAATGAAAACTTACCAAATGTAAAAAAAAAAAGAATGAAACAACATTTTCTGCTTTTTGAAGTTCCCGACATTTTTTTTCTTTCTCATATTCATTTTTAGAATTGATATTTGCAAGCTGGGTTGCTTGATGTATGATCTAGAAAGTCAGCCAGATCTCTATGAAATATTAAAGCCTGCTTTTAATATTTTAGAGGTAAATACTGCTGCCAGAGGAGCAAAGTAACAACTAATAGAGCAAAGTTGCTACCAAATTATCAGTCTGAATGGTTAAAATTAGAAAATTCAAGAATAATTGTGGCAACAGTATTTAAGTTTAAATGTAAACAACATTGAATCAGCTTTTAAAAAACAACAAATTTATCAGCACAAGTGAAGATCCATAGAGTAACAAATAAAATAGGTACATTAAACATTGGAGGAATAGGAGTTGTTTCCAAAATATCACAAAGTTCAATTTTATGTTTTATAAAAATCATTGTGATATTCCATAGCCACATTAAATCTATCACACAAACGTCTATAAATTACTTCGTGTTCAGCAGCAAAGCATCTACTGGAGTTAATTGAGTTCAGTGCAACTAGTGATCTAGTAAGAAACCGTAGCATTACATTGATCATTTAGTTCCTTTATTTATTATGTGTTTGTTTATGCTGTCCATCTCCCTAATAAAGCAACCTTGGGAGGTGTAGAATGAGAAAGTGGTACAACTTTTTAAATATAGGAATCAGAGACTCAGGCATGGGCACAAAGATAAATTTAATTCACACAGTGTTCTACAACTGTTTAATCCAATTTCTGTCTTCTTGATAAAATGTATAATCTCATTTGAGGAAGGATACTGTTCAGTGATAAAATGCATGTGTTACATTTGAAAAGTTTCCAGTTTTCAAAACTTCAAAAATGGCTGGGAAAAAACTCTTGATTGAAATAATGCTGAGTTATTATTAACCCATGCAATAATTTAATGACCTGATTCCATATAAGACAGCTTATTTATTCCTTTTAAGACTCATTCAGTTTTAATACAAGATGTTATTGAAGTGTAGGATAAAATTCAGTCAACTCTTCTTAGCAAACCCATTAAATTTTATTTACATCTTACGTTTTATAATACATCTCTTAACCACCACCCCTTTACATTCCTCCCACTGAAATATTTTTACACTGAAGACAATTTCAGTCAGAGTGTTTGATACATTTATTTCATATGTCATATTAAGTCAGTGGTTGGTTCATTTGGGGTTTAGCAAATTGTGGGAACACAGTTATATTTTACTAAGTACACCATGATTTACAACAAATTATCAAAATCTGAAGCAGATTACAATTTAAAGCAAGCATCATTGTTCTCTATGCCACGTTTACACTTTGAACATCTATTAGAAAAAAATATATATTCATGAGCTATACATGTTGTGACAAGGATGCAACTTTCATCGGTATGAATCATATATAGGAAATGAAATGTGGCAAATAATTGTTTGCAAAACAGGTTTGGCTTCAAGCTTGACTGAACGATTTCATATTAACCGCTTTCCAATAGAGAAAAGGGAATAACACTATTACAAGCAAAACCTCAAGCCTGAGCAGAATTGAAAGATGTTTCAGCAAATCTTTTGGTAGGCTTCAACATATCCACACTAAACTTTTTCACCTAATTGTAGTCTTGTTTACATTGTCAGATCGGAGTCACTGTCCAAAATTCATTCATTCAGTGATTTTAATCATCTGAGCAGAATTCTCTTACCTTACAGAAGCAGATCCTATCTAGAGGGGACACGCTTACTACTTTCATGGCAATTGGTAGTCTGGCTTGTGCTATCTCTTAACTTTTGAAGGCATCTACTTTGTGTCTTCAGCCACATTTTCCAAAAGGCAAACTCCCTGTGGTGATTGTATCTGAAAAGGAATTGCATTTTATGATCCTCCTCTCTGTCCAGAAAATTGCATTAGAATTGAGAAATAAGGGTTAAAGTTTGGTACAAAATGGCAAGGAACATAAACTCGAGTGCTAGGGTTTTGGTTGCACTGGCCATAAGCAAAAGAAATTAGATGTAGAATAAATAAGATCCTTGGAGACACTAAAATATATAGATTAAAGGAAATGACAAGATGTCATGTGTTAGACAGCTTGATATAAAGGACACGTGGAGGAAAGAGCAATGAAAACTCTGAAAGGAAACTGTTAAAATGTATAGAAGTGTGAATACAAACATACATTCTAATGCTAAACAGCATCCATTCACAAAGCAACAGCAACATGCTTTCCTTCTATCAAGGCAGGAGAAAAGAATGTAACTGAAAACTGCTGGCCATCTCCAAATACTTTTTACAATGAGCATCACAGTCAGTAGTATTGCTCCCCTCACAGAAAGTAGTATGGGTCACTTTCAAGACTGTCATTAATTTTCCTGTTTCAAGCCTAAACTGGAAAAAAAAAGCAGTTCCATGCATTATAAATGTTCACCACCATCCCCTCCAGCCAACCCTGAATCAGAAGGCCCTGCGGCCATACATATTGCCAAATGTAATGCTGCCAAATGTAGGGTATTCGATTTTGATTAAGAAATTTTTTAAATCCATTCTAGAACCTTCAACAAAAAACAACACACCTTTTGCTGAATTCTGGCCTAATGTTTTGTGTTTTCTCTTAGAATCCCCTATTTTGGGCCATTGAGGGACTATTGAATGTGAGAGGGGAAAAACCAGAAGGAAAATATAATTCACTAATATGCAGTCAGAAGGAAGAAATTGGGGACTTCAAATTAATTTTTTGACTCTTCGGCCCCACCCCCTCCAAACTCACAAAGGCCCTATGTTTATTACCCAATAATTTCCATTTCGGAAACCAAAAGCTAAAGCCAGAGGCTGCAGCAGACAGAATTGTTGCTGAAGAAACAGCAAGTGATTGCATTCACAAAAGCTGACGAGTAACAAGCCTACTTTACTGAAGCAGGAATTTACATAAATGCTGCAGAGCCTTTTATTCTGTATACCAAATGACTGAGCTGCTAGCTCTAAGCAAACTCCACCACAGGACACTAGGAGATTCATTCCATTGAGTTCAATTCCTTAGTGTTGTTTTAAGGTTATTCTTCTACCTGTGTAATACTCTCTGTATGATGACCGTTTTCCCAGTGCAAGCAGTAAAATAGATTGTTATGGTCTGTGTGTATGTAAAGCTTGATATTTTTTCTTATTGGATGCCTGGGAGGAGAATTTGCCCCTTAGAGAATCCCTGCTGGTTGGAAACTTGGCAGCAGGTTTGTTTAAATTGTAAAGAAGCTGGAAGGATTCTGCTTGAGAGATCTGTGACCAGTCCACAAGCTTTGGCAAGCATTTCAAGGAGAATTTTAGCACAAATTTCATATGCTTGCTTTGCCTTACAATAATTTAAATGTGTATGTGTGCGGGGGGGGGGGTGTATTGGTGTGTATTATCTTCAACAGTGTCTGAACACATGAGAATTTTCACTGCTCAGGTCACTGAGGTTCATACTTCTACCTTACAATAAAAGCCAAAGAACTGGTTTCCTTACAGTACACCAGTAAATATGAAATATTGCATGCCAATACATAATGACTTCCTTAGTAGGAAATGAAAAAGTATTTGTTTGTTTGTTTTTAATTGGAATCACCTGTGTGTAGAAAACAGCTCCCCTTGGAATTTTCTTGAAATTGTATAAAATCTTAATGTGCTTTAATATAATAGTCTTATACAAAAAGTTTTAAATTTACATAGTTTTATGTTTTCTACATTACAGCTTTTATTGCACTTGTTGTATACAACCATATTAAAACTCTGGAAAAAAGTATTAAGACAATATAATCTATTATCAAGGGACCATTATGATCTCCATTTCAAAGCGAACATTTATAAGGTACTGTTATGGTGGGTATAATGCCTACCCCGACTTAACTCAGGAAGAATTAATCTCTGTGTAAATAAGTTTAGGAAAGTAAAAATATGTATACTTATATCTATAACTGAGAGTTATTCAATAACAATGTAGCATCTAATATAACAAGAAGCCATATGGGTAGTCCTTAACTTACAACGGTAATTGAGCCTGAAATTATGGCTTTAAGTCATGCCAGTTGTTAAGTGAGTCATCACTTGACCATGCCCAATTTTATAACCTTTCTCATTAAGTGAATACCATGGTCATCTAGTAAAAGCATTAATTACTGTGACACAACCATGGGACAATGCCAATGGCCATAAATGCAGGCCAGTTACCAAGTACTCAAAATGCAGTCATAGGATGCCCTTCAGGGGAGATGCCCTTCAGAACATGATCATCAGTTCCTTTTGTGGATCCATCATAACTTTGAACAATCATTAAGCAAGTGGTTCTAAGCTGAGGACCACCTGTACCAGCACACTTTAATTCAGATGAAAACATTATGTTAATGAAATAAACCTTCAAGAACAAGCTGTGATGACTCAGAGTGTAACACAAACGTAACAAAATCCAAAACGTAAATAAATGTCCTGTAATGCCTCCAACTCGGCCCCACTGTTCAATAATACTCAGTTGGAGATAAAACGTACTCAAAAATAGTCTTCCAAATAAAGCAATACAGTCCGAATTTAATGAGCAGATAGAGGTGAAATAAAAAACCAAACAAACTACAATGATGAAATTTCCACAACAGAACAGGAGAAGTATTTACCAAATTCAAGGAGATAACCATCAAGATAAATTCAGACCAAAATAAAACATGCTGTGCTTCTGGCAACCTGTGTTTTAACCATCTCTCTTATATACTCGTCTCCCCAGCTGCAACCAATGAGGAGGATCATGGCCGCTTCCTCTCTCGCAAGCCAAGTTGTTGCCTTCTCCATTCCTCCCTGTGTGTCCTAGGATGCAGAGGGGATGGGCCTGGTTCTTCCTCTGACTGCCCAGCCAGTCTCTGCCCTTCCCCAGCCTCTTCCACAACTTCTGGAGCCACACCTCCACCCGCTATCAGTGTTCCTCCTCTCCCTCAGACTCCAACTCTACCAAGGGCATGACAAAAGCTTTCTGGAGAGAAGCTAACAGAAATTGTGATTTTTACTTAATGTGCACTTATATCTAAGCATAGAATAGACAGAACAATTTTATGTAATACAGTGTAAAGTAATCACAGCGATAAAGCAACATAGTAATCTCTATAATATATAATAACCTATAAAAGACACTTAACCTGAACAAATGTAACGTACAGCTATATTGAGTAATGATAAAATTCTTCCACTTTCATAAGTTCCTAAGAAAAGGGCCTTTTTAACTTTTAGGAGATTTGACTCTAAATGCAATTGAATGTAGAGTTAATTCTAGGAGGTAAGAGCTAAATCGGGAAAAAATGTTCAATGTGACATGGTCATTTGATCAGCAGGACAAACTAATTGATCTTGATTGCATAACTAAGCTGAGCACACAGGAAGATGATTTATAATTAAGTTATTTGAATAAGTGTTCCTGTACACGAGGCCCAGAAAGTCAGGATCAGCTATTTAAACTGATCATCCTCCCAAATATCTAGTTATCATAGGGATTGGCAAAAAAAAAAATTCAAGGACAAATCAAAAGAGGTATAGAGCTACCCAAACTACTTTTTTTGAATCTCAACTAGAGGTTGGAGAATGGAGTCAAGAAGGCTGCCAGCTATCTACAACAGTCCAGGCATGAGTTAGCTGTTCCATGTACTAGAAAGAATTTCATTCTGTACACAATATCTATCCAAGTATCTGGTGAAATAATCTCAACTGAATTTTAACTCAGAGCTTTAAAAAAAACAGATCATAGCACGAGGAAGTTAGGTTGCTTGCTTCTTAGGCAGATAATCATTTTCAGCAAAAGATTATCCAGTTAATAAGAGTATCATTTCAGCGGTGTAAATCTTTATCATAAATATATACTCATGGCAGTATTTTTCCTCACTCCAATCTTTTTATATTAAAGCCTATACAGCTATATATGCAGTCACAAAACTTTAAGGAATCTGAAATAAACCTTATGACACCTGTGCTCCCTCTATAAATAAAGCATTTGAAACTTTTCAAATAATTGCAATACTATGCAATGGTATATGGGGTTTAATTGAATTTGCAAGGTGATAGATATTGTATTGTATGTATTAATCAATAACCATTAGGCAGGGTGGTAGGGTAGTTTTTGTTTGTTTGTTTACTGCCTTCAAGTCAGTGTTGACTTCTGGTAGACGCCTGGACAAATCTTTGCAGTTTTCTTGGCAAGATTTTTCAGAAATGGTTTACGATTGCCTGCTTCCTGGAGCTGAGTAAGAGTTGTTTTGTGGTTAAAGTGAGACTAGAACTCACATCTCCTAGTTACTAGACTGGTGTCTTAACCACTAGCCGAAACTGGCTCTACCTAGGTGGCAATTACTTGTCAAATATATAGTGACCCAGTAGTTCTCTGGAAATAAAAGGATCTCAGTGTATGTTGCAGGTAGCTTTGTGCTGCCTCATTTCTACCTTAATGTTTTAGGTTTTTAAAAATAGCCAAATTTTTCATGTGGAACTAACTTTTCTGAACCAAACTAGATTATATTTCTTCAGTTCCTTTAAGGATATGCCATCTTTCTCCCCATGGACTCTAGTTACAAACAGATCAGCTTGACATAGTTAATATGGGGTTAGCATACTTGATATGGTTAATATGGAGATAAGCAACAGCTGTTTGCTTAGCAGCATATTCTCTGCTAAAACAGTATTCTTTTTCACAGCCCCAATCACATTCCCCAGCTTCTATCCCATACCATCTGATATGTTGAAAAACCTACCTGCTTTTCATTATTGTAACAGAAAGACAAATTAGGCAGAAAGATATTTAAGGTTTGTATATAGGAATCAACCACCTAACATTTTGATACAACTTTAAGGCTTGCTTGATTAATTTTCTACAACTAGAGCAGGGGTCCCCAAACTTGGCAACTTTAAGACTTGTGGACTTCAACTCCCAGAATTCTCCAGCCAGCTAATTCTGGGAGTTGAAGTCCACAAGCCTTGAAGTTGCCAAGTTTGGAGACCTCTGAACTAGAGAGACAGAAAATAAATTATACAACATCTTAGAAAATTACTCTTAGGCAATGAAGAAAATTCATGATCAGTATTTGAAACATGGGCGCAGCTGCACCTTTGTAGCATCTCCATTTGTAAAGCAAGGTGACTGTTTAGTTTACATTGTCATTGCACCTCGTATAACGAAATCAAACACCATCTTCAGTGCACATCATGACCATGAAAATAAAAACAAAAACACATCCTTCACACTCCACACATTGAATTGAACCCCCCAACACTGCACCGACACTGCACTATACAGTAGAATTCAACAGAGTTACTGCCCTGGGATAGAAGCTGTTTTTCAGCCTATTTGTCTTTGTTTTTATTATCCTGTACTGTCTGCCAGATGGTAATAATTAAAAAAAAAGGGTGCCCAGGATGAGATGGATCTTTCAGAATGTTTTGAGTTTTCTTAAGGCAGCAGGAGCTATACAGCTCTTCCAAAGAGGGGAGAGGGCAACCAATGATCTTCTGGGCAATAACATTAACCCTCTGGAGTGCTTTCCTATCTGCCACTGTGCAACTGGCAAACCATTCAGAGGTGCAGCAAGTTAAGATTCTATGGTGCAGCGGTCGAAGGTCACCAGCAGTTTTTCATTCAGTTGTTGTTTTCTGAGGTGGGGGATCTTCTTTATTTATTATAGCAAAATCTTTTCTGGCCAAGAATTTGCATTACCTGCTATATGCTCTGTTACCCTGAGCTGGACATATTATGGCCTGGGAAGAAGAAAGGCAACAGTAAATCAGAGGAAACAGATGCAAAATGAACTGACAATTATTATTACAATGTTAACATTAACCATTCACGAAAACATCGCGAATTACATATTCAATATATCTTGGCTTTGGGTAAACTAATTAATATGTGTATGATTTCCCTTTATCCTCAATTAAATCAAATAGTAGAACTGAAATTTTTGATGAATTATATCTCAACACTTTCTCACTGTAGGCTCCCTTTGATGTGTTGTTAGTCAAGAATGATCATTTTCAACATAGGTAGTCCTTGACTTACAATCACAATTGGGCTAGGATTTCTATTGCTAAGCAAGACAGTTGTTAAGTGACTCACACCTGATTTTATGACCCTTTTGCCACAATTAAGCAAATCGTTGCAGTTGTTAGGTGAATCAAGTGGTCATTATGTGAATTCAGCTTCCCCTATTTGCTTGTCAGAAGCTGGCTGGGATAGTTGCAAATGACCCCAAGATGCTGTAATCACTGTAAAAGGTGCCAATTGCCAAGCACCCAAATTTTGATTACATGATTTTGAGGATGTTACAACAGTCATAAGTGTGAGGACTAGCTGTAAGTCACTTTTTTCAGTGTTGTAACGTTGAATGATTATTAAATGAATAGTCAAAAGGCAAGGACTGTACCTCTATAAGAATTTATTTATTTATTTATTTATTTTGTCAAAAGCTTACAATACAATAGAAATAAAAATAAACATGTTTAAATATAAGAAATAGGAAGTAATAATTGGGGACAATAGGACAGGGATGGTAGGCACAATTGTGTGCTTATGCACGACCTTTACAGACCTCTTAGGAATGGGGTGAGGTCAATAGAGGTTAGTTTGAGGGTAAAGGAGTGGGGATTTGAGCAGGTGACAACAGAATCAGGTAGTGAGTTCCAGACATTGACCACTCTGTTGCTGAAATCGTACTTCCTGCAATCAAGTTTGGAGTGGTTTACATTAAGTTTATATCTGTTGTGTGCTCTTGTATTGTTGAGGTTAAAGCTAAAATATTCATTAACTGGTAAGACATTGTAACATATGATTTTATGTACTATGCTTAAGTCCAATCTTAGCCGGCGTAGTTCAAGGTTGTCTAAGCCTAGAATCTCAAGTCTGGTGCTGTAGGGTATTCTGTTGCAAACAGAGGAATGTCGTACTCTTCTGGTAAAATACTTCTGGACTCGCTCAATTGTATTTATGTCTGATATACAGTGCAGATTCCAGACAGCAGAGCTGAATTCAAGTATTGGTCTAGCAAAGGTTTTGAATGCCCTGGTTTGCAAATCAGTATTACCAGAGGAGAAGCTTCACAAAATTAAATTTACAACTCTTAAAGCTTTTTTGGCAACACTGTTGTAGTGAGCTTAGGAAGAATCTTAGGAAGCTGAAATATTCTCCTTTTTTGTCAGAAATGGCCTTTTTTCTCCATATAAAACACAAAAAGATATTGTTAAAATATATCACAAGAGAAGATGAAAAAAATTAACTCAGTCATATTACAGATGATTTATAATAGAGTTGACAGGATAGATAAAATTGATTCAGGGACAGAACTGGCAGCAGTTTTTTTTGCAAGAGAAATTTACCTTTTATTGGATTTTTATTATTAACCTACCATGAACAACATCTATATAACATTGTCAACCTCTAAGAGTCCTATGGGGTTGAGTGCTGTGCAGTTGATTAAATTAACAAACTAACCAAAATTTGGGGGTTGTGTGGTGTTTCTTGTCAGTCGGGATGTTTTAAACTGAGATTGGATGGAAGGTCTTGTCAGCCCTTTGAGGTAGACCAGGTCAAGAAACAGACACTGCAGGGATTCCAGGAATATCACCTTATTTTTGGAGGTATATTGACAAACTCTTGAAAGCCTGTCAGAATTTCTTTCTACAGTATTTCATCTTATATGAAACAAAATCAAAACCATTTTTGTAGTTTTTCTCACACTTTCTTCAATCTCTGTATTGTCTCTTCTCCAAGTTTCTTCCCTGTGGCTCATTCCTTCTTTTCCCAATGTAAGCTCTAAATTCTTTATAGGTCTGTATGGAATTACTGAACTCCCATTCAATGACATTTTGAAAAGGAAATGCCACTCCTAGAACAGTGTTTCCCAACCTCAACCAGTCTGAGATGTGTGGATTTCAACTCTTAGAATTCCTAGCAGTGGCCATGTTGGTTGAATTCTGAGATGCAAAATGCCATACATCTTAAAAGTTCTCCAGATGTTGGAAAGCAACTGTCCCAGATAGGAGGGCTGAAGAGCGGAATTAACTTGGACTTGCTGTGTAAACACAAGAGGGCAAGGTCTGACCTGCCCTCTTTCTAATGCCTTTGAGCCTTATCTAGTCTTTTCCAGCCAAGAGCTGTCAGTCTGGGAGATCCCTGTATTATTGGCAGTGAACAATAAAATACCTAGTTTGAACTTTATATGTGTTGTTCATGCCTGACACCAGGTTGTGAAACATTGGCCTAAAATGAGTTGCAGCTGATGGACAAGGTGATTAGAGATTACCTCAGAGATAACATGTCTCAACTCCAAAGGGTATGAGACTTCCATTGTTTAGAAAAGGCCCTTGTGTCAAGATTTTCCCTGTTTGTGGAAAGCTTCGCACTTCAGACACTGAACTACATCTACCACAGGATATAGTCATATGAATACTTTGCAGTGACTCATGAGGAGGCTTCCTTTTCGGTCACAATTACATAAGAGATTTGAGGAAAATAGAAATCTCAATGTCACCCTTCCCGGCCAACACCCAAGTCAATAAAAGCTTCAGAGCTATCCAAATAATCAAGACTTCCTTCTAGATTTTATCTGGACAAATACTGGGAATAAAAAGAAGGCACCATAAATATTGGGATATTACTTTCTGTTCTTTAGCTTTAAATTCTGGCAATAATTTTGATTCTATAACCTTATTATGTAATTCAAACTCCTGACCAGGTCTTGAAAATGTTTTGTATAAGGACCATCCTAACTTGCTAAGGACTTTTTTGCCCAACTACAATGAGGTTCATAATCTATATTAAATTTTATTATAAAATGTATTTAATAATATAATAATTAACATTGTCTCCAGCAACCAGTACCAGGTAAGCAGGGATTAACACCAGAAAAATAAGCAGAAAATAATACACTAATCAAGCTTCCAAGGAGAAAAACACACACACACACACACACACACATATACACACAAATAATGGCAGGGCAAGCTATTTTATATAAACAAGGTATAAACCCCACACTCACTAGCACTGATGATGTTACCTGATGAGGTAATGAAAAGTCTGCAGGTGAACAACCAAACTCAGAGACCCACGATGTTCTTCTCTATATAGCAATAAATTATATTTCTTTGTACAGCAATAAAAAGCAAGTTTTGTGTAGGCACCAGGTTAGAAATGAGGAGATGGTGAGTTCTAGTCCCTCCTTAAGCACAAAACCAGTTGAGTCACTCTCTCACACTCTAAGATTTCTGAAGCCACTTCTGAAAAACTGTGCCAAGAAAACTTGCCAGGGCAGTCGGCAGAATTCAACACCGATTCAGAGGCACAGCAGTATGGCAGTAAACAATATTTAAAGAAGCCTCAAATAAAATTCATTTGAATATACTATGAATTATGAATCCTATAATTAGCATAAAAATGGTCAAGGGTGTAAAAAGCAGCAGTAACATCTTATTTCTAAATGCAATCAATATGCATGTTATAGAGCTTGCAAGAGGTAAATTTCCAGTAAAGGATAGTATGTGAAAACTTGCTGATGATTGATCATAATTTTTAAAATAAATCAGTTACTATAAGAAGAACATCTATCTTTATTTCCTTGAGCTGATATTGATAGGAGCTGGGAACTTTTCTTGAAATGCTATAGGATAATTCAATGCTTTATCATCAATTAATGAACAAGATGGAGCGGGTTGTCAGTTATTGTCATCTAGCTGACAAACAAAAGAAATTTGCATAGACCAACAGTTTTGGTGTTTAAGGATATGTCTCCCAAAATAGAATGAAGACTTCTTAAAATAAAAGTAAGTCAAATCAAGTTGTTAAACCTCAGCAATTGCAATCAGTATAATCCAGGTCATTATTCAGACTGCATTCAGAAAAGATACTAAGATACTTGTATCTTTCTAGCACTGATTGCAAAATGAAATACAATACAGTATATTTTATTTGGAATCTATACCATCTATATATTTCTTTTCATCAGAGACTGTTTCAGTGCTGGGAACTGTGTTCAGGACTCTTTGGATTCCTTCCTTCCTTCTTTCCTTCCTTCCTTCCTTTTCATGTTGCTTCTTCTCTATCATCTGTGAAGAAAAATAGCTACAGAAACACCATAATCAAGTTATATTGCACATGGGCATCTGGCTTTCTGCTGAGATCTATATTAAATGCAGTCAAATCCCATTATATTAAACAGACATATTTCTCTCACACACATAGAAATACACACACAAACCATGCAATCAGTTCTCTGAAGCAGAAAATGTAGGTTCAGTACCCATCCAGATGTTTCAAGCAGATGGGATGGTGGGAGGGGATCCAATCTAGGTTCCTATGAAATGGGATTCAGTGGTTTAAAATTTGAAATGAAAACACAGTAGAAGCAAGCTAAGTCCTCCTCCCCACCCACCTTTTCCCACCCAAACTTGTACTTTGGATCATATTATATTTTCTTCCAGCGATGGTTTTGACTTTCCAGTGAGGAAATGCCTAACAAAAAGAATTCATATAGGAATTCAACTCTGTCCTTCTGCCTATCCATATGGAATACAGAATAATAAAGTTGAAAGGGACCTTGGAAGTCTTATAGTCCAACCCCTTGCTTGGGCAGGATATACCCAGAGGTGGGCTGCTGCCAGGTTGTGATGGTTTGGGTGATCTAGTAGTTACGATCAGGGGTGGGATACATTTTTTTTAACAACCGGTTCTGTGGGCGTGGCTTAGTTGGTGGGTGTGGCTTGGGGGTCATGTGACTGGCTGGGCGTGGCCAACTCAACATCACTCACATTGAGGCAGGCATCTCCTCGCCTGGCCTCTCATGACTGTGGGGATGCTGCAACAGTCGTAAGTGTGAAAAATGGTCATAAGTCACTTTTTTCAGTGCCATAGTAACTTTGAATGGTCACTCCACACAAGCAAAGTACCAGCAAAGGAGGGGAAAAAAGCTCCAGAGATGTTCCTGAGACAGGAAGTCTAGTCTTGCCAAGAATGTAATAAGGGTTAACAGAGAGGCAGTTTCTGTAAGCAACACCAGAATGTTTCCTTCCTGCCTTCCTTACAGGATTAGACCAATAATTTTTTCTAACAACCGGTTCTCCGAACTGCTTAGAATGTTAACAACCTGTTCTAGTGAATAGGTGCGAACCTGTAGAATCCCACACCTGGTTACGATTCTGTGCAGTTTGGTGAACCGGCAAATCCCACCACTGGCTGGCCCCACCCCTGCTCATTTTTTGTCTGTTTTCAGGCTGTTTTTCAGGCCGTTTTCAAGCTGTTTTTTTACAGCCTGAAATGGCCCCCAAACAACCCCAAAACAGCCTGAAAATGGCCAAAAAATGGCCAAAATACAGGCTGAAAAGAGGCCAGCTAGTGGTGGGATTAGCCCCAACCATCTGAATCCTTCTGCCTTTGAAGTGAGTGGCCAGGAGGTGGGGCTGGGTGTGATGAGTGATGTCACCCACCCAGTCACATAACCAACCAGCCATGCCTACCCAGCCAGAGAACCAGTTGTTTAAAAATTTGCAGCCCACCACTGGATATACCATGTCAAACAAATGGCTGTCCAATCTCTTCTTTAAAACCTCCAATGATGGAGTACACACAAGTTCTGGAGGCAAGCTGTTGCACTGATGAATTGTTTTCATTGTCACAAAATTTCTGGATCTCTCCCTAATAAGTTTCAACCTGTTGCTTCAGGTGCTTTAGAGAAATGCTTACCCTCTCTTTTCTGTGACAGCCCCTCAAAAATGGGAAGACTGCTATAATGTCACCCTAGTTCTCCTCTTCATTAGACTGGACATACCCAATTTTTGCAACCATTAACTTTAATTAACTTTAAAGCCCCAACTCTATCAGCTGGATCCTGCACAGGGTTTGCCTTCATCTGCAGGAGAGTGAAATCTGGGTGAAGTGTCTCCACCACCCCTTTTATGTACCAGCCTTAGAGAGATCCACTTTAGCCTTTTCTAAGCCATTTCTGCAAACACACTATGGCTTTGGTTACCTACTTAAAACCGCACCTCACTGTAGGCACAATTGTGGCTTTTCTAAAACCAAATCTGGAACATAATAAGGCATGTACCCAAACCATATGACACACGCTAAAGCAACTGGAAATTGAAACAGGCTGGGTTATTTTAAAAACATCAACCATATGCTAATATGACACCTTTTCTCTGTGATATTTAAAATGGAATTGTTAATACAGTGTTGTTTAATGCAAGCGAACCAACTATACTACACGATACTATTCCTAGTTTATTCCTAAAGCCTCCTTTGAATCC